TCCAGCAACTTCGCGCAGCCATTGAAGAGGAGTGGACCAACATTCCACAGGCCACAATCAACAACCTGATCATCTCTATGCCAAGGAGATGTTGCACTGCATGAGGCAAATGGTGGTCACACCAGATACTGACTGGTCTTCGGACCCTCCCGGACCCCCCAATACAGTAAAACTGCACATTTTAGAGTGGCCTTTTATTGTGGCCAGCCTAAGGCACACCTGTGCAATAATCATGCTGTCTAATCAGCATCTTGATATGCCACACCTGTGAGGTGGGTGGATTATCTCGGCAAAGGAGAAGTGCTCACTAACACAGATTTAGACAGATTTGTGAACAATATTTGAGAAATAGGCCTTTTGTGTACATAGAGAAAGTCTTAGATCTTTGAGTTCAGCTCATGAAAAATGGGGGCAAAAACAAAAGTGTTGCGTTTATAATTTTGTTCAGTGTATGTGCTGCTCTCCATGAGCATGACTACCTGTAAAACATTTACACAGAGTAAAACATTTTACAATTAATGATGTGGGCATTTCATCTCATATGTTTACAATTACATGCTAATTTTGTCAAAGCTTCTTTACTTTTGTGGTTTAGTGGGCAAAACCACTGAACTGGTCAGCAGAAGGTTGCTCTGTAAAACATTTACACAGAGTAAAAAATTTTACAATTAATGTTGTCAGCATTTCATTTAATAGGTTTACAATTACATGCTAATTTTTGTCATAGCTTCTTTACTTTTGTGGTTTAGTGGGTAAAACCACTGAGCTGGTAAGCAGAAGGTTGCTGGCTGGATCTCCGCAGTCGTCACCACCGGTGTGCCCTTCAGCAAGGCTCTTTACTCTGGGTTGCTGCTGGGGGATTGGGGTCCCTGTAACAAAAGCACTGTAAGTCACTTCTGATAAAAGTGTCTGACAAATGCAGAAATGTAAATGTGATTTCTGTAAATCCTTTTTTGTGTCTCGGGCACAAACGCTCAAAGCTGCTTATTTCTTAACGTGTATTTCTTCATGGTACTACTATAATATAAATGCATGCATATATTTCATACAGTTTCTTTTTGGAGGGTTTAAAGGGTTAGTTCATCCAAACATATAAATTCAGTCATTATTTACTTGCCTCCACACTGTTCAATCCTTGTTTTTTTTTCTTCCTGAACACAAAAAGTGCTTTTTGGTCAAGTTTGTCCTGCTGGTTTCTGTTCATACAATATCAGTCAATGGAGCCTGACTTTAAGATTCTTCATGAATAAAGCTGCTTATTTCTTAAAGTTTATTTCTTCAAGGTACTACTATAATATAAATGCTTACATATATTTCATACAATTTATATTTGGGGGGTTTAAAGGGTTAGTTCATCCAAACATATAAATTCAGTCATTATTTACTTGCCTCCACACTGTTCAATCCTTGTTTTTTTTTCTTCCTGAACACAAAAAGTGCTTTTTGGTCAAGTTTGTCCTGCTGGTTTCTGTTCATACAATATCAGTCAATGGAGCCTGACTTTAAGATTCTTCATGACATTATTTGATGATGCTTTTGAAGCTTCTGAAACTCGGGCTCCATTGACTGGTGTTGTATGAGCAAACCAGCAGAACAAACTTGACCAAACTCACATCCTCAGTGTCTTGGCTTTTCTCTAGATGCTCCAGCTGGCTCTGGGTTCACTGAGGATGAAGAGACCACAGCAACATCTGGCCCAGATGAGGCAGTAAGAGGTGGAGTGATGGAGCGTCTCATCCATGGCACTGGACCATTTCCAGGATGCTGCTGTGGACTTCTCCATCCTCACTACTCACACCAGTCTGAGGACATTTCAGATCCTGCAAAGATGCACAAACACAATACAAAAGCAGTCATTTTAACAGCACAATGTCATTTGATTTCTGTCCACATCCTACTGCCATCTCAACACAGCTGTGCCAGTTCTGCAGCTGACCACCGTGTCCACCTTCACCTCTCTCTGTCGTCCACCACGACCCTCACTGCTGCAGTCAGACTGAATCTGATCATGGATGGGAAAGGGACATCAAGGCTGTCGTTGCCTGAGTGCACAGAGAGGATGAGGAAGACCATGATGACGCCCCTGAACCACACAATTTTGAACATGTGCGGGACAATCTGCATCTGCTCCAAACATCTGTGTGCTGCTCTCCATGAGCACCACTACCTGTAAAACATTTACACAGAGTAAAACATTTTACAATTAATGTTGTCAGCATTTCATTTAATAGGTTTACAATTACATGCTAATTTTTGTCATAGCTTCTTTACTTTTGTGGTTTAGTGGGTAAAACCACTGAGCTGGTAAGCAGAAGGTTGCTGGCTGGATCTCCGCAGTCGTCACCACCGGTGTGCCCTTCAGCAAGGCTCTTTACTCTGGGTTGCTGCTGGGGGATTGGGGTCCCTGTAACAAAAGCACTGTAAGTCACTTCTGATAAAAGTGTCTGACAAATGCAGAAATGTAAATGTGATTTCTGTAAATCCTTTTTTGTGTCTCGGGCACAAACGCTCAAAGCTGCTTATTTCTTAACGTGTATTTCTTCATGGTACTACTATAATATAAATGCATGCATATATTTCATACAGTTTCTTTTTGGAGGGTTTAAAGGGTTAGTTCATCCAAACATATAAATTCAGTCATTATTTACTTGCCTCCACACTGTTCAATCCTTGTTTTTTTTTCTTCCTGAACACAAAAAGTGCTTTTTGGTCAAGTTTGTCCTGCTGGTTTCTGTTCATACAATATCAGTCAATGGAGCCTGACTTTAAGATTCTTCATGACATTATTTGATGATGCTTTTGAAGCTTCTGAAACTCGGGCTCCATTGACTGGTGTTGTATGAACAGAAACCAGCAGAACAATCTTGACCAAAATCATATCCTCAATGTCGTTTGGTCTTTCTCTAGATGTTCTCACTGGCTCTGGGGTCACTGAGGATGAAGAGACCACAGCAACATCTGGTCCTGATGAGGCAGTAAGGGCAGGTGGAGTGATGGAGCGTCTCATCCATGGCACTGGACCATTTCCAGGATGCTGCTGTGGACTTCTCCATCCTCACTACTCACACCAGTCTGAGGACATTTCAGATCCTGCAAAGATGCACAAACACAATACAAAAGCAGTCATTTTAACAGCACAATGTCATTTGATTTCTGTATTAGAAGTAACGGAATGATCTTTATATTTTTTTCTTATTTATTTTGTTTCAGGTTTTCCCTTTTTTTTTTCACAAATTCCGCCGTCACCTTTCCTTGCAGGTCCTGCTCCACCACAAAAGCTCTGCAGCAAATGCACAGGAATCAAGAATCAGAAAGGTGCTGTGATAACTCTGTTTGAAGTTACAATAATTCAAATAAACTACAATTTAAGATTTAAAAGATGGTTTATTCATTTCTGTAGTATACTCACTGAGAGCCTTTGATGGCAGCATTCCTTAATCAGTCACTCTGTAGCGGATAAACACACGTGTGTCTCATCTGTCCCTGTAACATCCAGACCAAGTCAAGTCACCTCTGTGATTTATCTGCTCAACACTGCATTTACATGTTGTTAACTAACTTTTTATCTAACACAAGTGCTCCACAATTTATCAACAGTACTAATGGACAAATAAAATAGATAACATATGTTTAGTTACTTTATGTAGATTTGTTTATTAACATTACTTACATTCATCTAAAGCAGTGTTGACAAAAGTGAATTCTACTATAATAGCACACATACATCACTCACTCAGATGTCCGTTCATGTTGTGATGTGCTCATCTGCAATTCTTTTAGAACATTTTCCTGTCAGATATTAAGTAGACATTTAGTAGTCGTCTTTAAGATGTATATGGTTTATGTAAATTCACTTCGGTGACGTATGTGTGCTTACTGGAGCTCCCCTGTTCGCTATACATAAAACATGTTTTTACAGCAAGATCACAAATATACTATACTGTCTAGTATGAAGGTATTTTTGGTGCAAAACAACTGACCATCTGTGACAGCAGAATTGGTAGCTGTATGTGTCTTTCATTGTTTTGTATTTGTCACACACATCCCAACTTCCTTTTAAAATAAAATATATGGCAATTTATTAATGCACAAGTAATCTATGGAGCAAAGATTCATGTTTATTGAACAAAACACATCTTTGGGTCTCATCCAGACACTGCTTTACTGATAGTCTATGAGAGCACCATGAGCACTACTTTCATTGAGAAAAATCTGAAAGTTAATTGGGCTTTAAATCACTGTACTTTTGTCCCAGATGGAAGAGATACGGTTAACTGATGTCCTGCAATAATTCTTTCTAAATCATAATCTGTATGATTCTTTTTCAATCTTTATTTTATTTTTTTTAATATAGTAATTTCACGGTTTAGTGGTAATTTGATTGCAGAAGGTACTCAACCAGAATGGTTTTTTGCTGCTGCAGGTACCACCACTGCTTCTGTGGCAAATGCATTTGCAGATTTTGACCACTAAGTAGCGCTATATTTCTACAAATAATCGGGAAACCGTATCCAAGCACATTTTTTGAGTAGCAGTCAATGTTACCTTGCTAGTGGGCTAGACATGACGCTTGCAGTAAGTGGATAATCAAAGAAAAACATTGTAGTTAAAATAATTTGTGACCCTGCCTGTGAAAACCCAGCTAAAGTTTTTTTTTTTTTTTTGTGTTTAATTTTTTGAGTAGCAGTCAATGTTACCTTGCTAGTGGGCTAGACATGACGCTTGCAGTAAGTGGATAATCAAAGAAAAACATTGTAGTTAAAATAATTTGTGACCCTGCCTGTGAAAACCCAGCTAAAGTTTTTTTTTTTTTTTTTGTGATTTACTGTTTTCTAAATCACAGTATATACAATATCATACAACATATTATATACACAACATAATCAATATACACAATATCATCAAAACGTCAAGGATCCCCACCCAATGACTGCAGTGAAGAATTGTACCATCTTCATCTATCCATCTTACCATACCAGTCCTTTTTCTTATTGTTCCCCGGTCACGCATAAAGCAATTGTAAATTCACAACTGATTATTAGGTATTGAGGCAAGTACCACAGACATGGATTAGGCCATGATCCTGGATTCTTGCTGAATCAAAATAAGAGCGTAACAATTCCTGTGTCTCGCTGTGTTCTGCTCGCAGTGAAGGGAAAATATTCTATGGTGCGGCTTAATGGTGCTGAATATTGGGATCATAACACCTAGTCCTATTATGCAAAAAAATACATAAAATCATCCTTCATAAAGATGTAAAGAACATTCTGTGAAATAACCTTTATATCTTTAATATTGACTGAGTAAGGCCATGTCAAAGATTGAAATCATAGTGAAATTAATTGTTGAAATCAAACTTTGATGCTTGTTACTCATAATTAGATTTTGAGACTTTAGCCTGGATTTCACAGACAGAGTCACATTTATTTTCAAAGGAGCAAATTTTGTATTTTTGAAGTCGTGCAAATACGTTTGATATTCAGAACAAATTCAAGCAGCATAGTAAAGGTTAAGCATATATATATATATATATATATATATATATATATATATATACA